GCAGAGCCAAGTGGGAAGTGGGGGGGGGGGATCCCAGCACACGGGTAAAGGGGGGGGGGGGTGTGGCTCCCCTGCCTTTCTCAGAAAACAGTCCCACTCTTGACCATAAGAGGGAGCTGTGAGCGCTGTTTCACAGGCGCGTTTCTTTCGCTCAGTGTCAGGCAGGGCAACGGGTGTCACTGCAGAAGTGACAAATTACAAAGGGGACACCTGCCCAGGGTGCGGCCAGTGACCCCCAGAGCAGTCCTCAACCTACAACAGTTCATTTAGTGACATAAAGTCACAATGGCACGGAAAAAAAGTGACTTACAACCATTTTTCAATTAGAACCTTTGTAGCATTCCTATGGTCACGTCATCAAAATTCAGGTGCTTGGCAACGGATTCGTATTTATGACGGTTGCCGTGTTCCCGGGGATCACATGATCCCCTTTTGCAACCTTTTGATAAGCAAAGTCAACGGGGAAGCCAGATTCACTTAACAACAGGGTTACTAACTTAACAACTGCAGGAATTCACTTAACAACTATGGCAAGGAAGAGGTCATAAACTGGGGCAAAACTCACTTAACAAAGGTCTCACTCGGGAACAGAAATTTTGGGCTCAATTGAGGTCATAAATTGAGAACTACCTGTGTTTTCTTTTTCCAATAAGAACTTTGATTTGCCTTTTAGCATTCCAAAATATTGCTTAAAATTGGCTTTTGACTATTTTTAATTCTCTCACATAAACTTCTTGTCCTTCCTAGCTACTTCAGTTTTCAATAGAAGAAAATTTTATATAGCTGCAGCGTCTATAGAAGTTCTCCATCATCCAGGTCGTGGTTATCCCAAAGGTGCTCTTATTTTTCAAGAGGCATCTGGACTTTCTGGTTTCTCTTTGAAGACATTTCGCTTCTCATCCAAGAGCTGAAGAAGCTTCTTGGATGAGAGGCGAAATGTCTTCGAAGAAAAAACCAGAAAGTCCAGATGCCTCTTGAAAAATAAAAGCACCTTTGAGATATATAACTCAGGGTTAAGTTATGGAATCCTTGGAGTTCTCTGAACTTGGCTGTTAGCTTGCAGACATTTCATTACTAGCATAAGTAACTTCATCAGTGCTAGTGTGTGTGTGTGTGTGTGTGTGTGTGTGTGTATGTATGTGTGTGTGGTTGCCTTCCTGTTTATTATATACAGAAGCTTGTCCTGCCAGGATTGGAGGGGTTCGGTTTTCACCTTGGCAGTTCCTTGATAAAAGAATTGGTTTCCCACTTAATTGTTCATCTGCTGTTTGTCTGCTGTTACTTGTCTGGTAGTTTCAATTTCTGCACACTGCTTATTTTGATAAATCTTGTTGCGTCATCTTGTCTTCCTGGCATCTGGCATCTAATTAAACAAATGTTTTTTCCCCTCTTGTAACTATTTCTTCCACTTCTTTTGCTTTTCTACATTACTTATTCATTTGTGCAACTGTAGGTCACCTCAATTACAAAGTGACCTCATCTTTACCAATAGCATGTTTCAACCCAGAGTTTTTCAGGTATGAAGAAATGTAGTTCTTCAAATTTGTTCTCTGCCTTGGCAACAGACTTACATAGAATATTACTCAGATCAAACCTCGCTGGCCTTCTTTCTTTCGCTGAAGGTGGAACTCTGCCAGAAGACATTGATGGCTAGAGGTGCAATCAGGGCAGATCTTATTTTTGGCAGACTGGCTACTTCTTCTGCCAGTCCAAATTCAAGGTCCCTGGGATGATCTATTCAGCCCCTCATGATTTCTTTGTTCAAAGAAGGTATTTCTACAAATGTTGCCTGATTTATCTGTTGTCATCTTTGCTTGACAGAGCCTGGGTGGTGCAGTGGTTAGAATGCAGTACTGCAGGCTACTTCTGCTGACTGCCAATTGACAGCAGTTCGATTTTCACCAGGCTCCAGGCTGACTTAGCCTTCCATCTTTCCGAGGTGGGTAAATGAGGACCCAGATCGTTGGGGGCAAGAGGCTGACTCTGTAAACTGCTTAGAGAGGGCTGGAAAAAAAACCCTGTGAAACGGTATATGTCTAAGTGCTGTTGCTATTAGGCAAAGACCAATTTTTTCCAGATCCAGTTTTTTTCTTCCAACTTTAGGGTAAAATAAAATGTCCCCTGGTTTTGGTGCAAGTCAGCAGAGAACGAATGAAGCTGCTTGGATGAGCAGTGAAATGTCTCAGGCTAATGAACAAAAATATTAGTCCAGTTGCCATGATTCAGCCTTTAGACACCCTTTGCCTGGATGGCTGAGATTCTGTCCCCAGAGAATGGTTCAGGATCAGCTCACTCAACAATTGTAGTCAAAGCTTAGATTTGTCTTGCCGGATAAAATAGAATTCTTTTTTTATTGGCCCAGTGTGATTGGACACACAAGGAATTTGTCTTTCATGCAAATGCTCTCAGTGTAGATAAAAGAAAAGAGACCTTCGTCAAGAATCATCAGGTGTTTAATATAGTCATAGGCAATCAAATCATACTAGGAAACATATTAGGAATAAAAATCGTAATGATACAAGCAACAAGGTTACAGTCACACAGTCATAAGCAGGAGGAGATGGGTGAAAGGAAGGACGGGAGGATTAATCGCAATGGTAGGGCAGACTTAGTAAAGTTGGACAGTGTTGAGGGAATTATTTGTTTAGCAGAGTGATGGCGCTTGGAAAAAAAACCTGTCCTTACGTCTAGTTGTTCTGGTGTACAGTATTGAAATCCTGCCAAGAGCTACTTTAACAGGCTATATTTTTAAATTATGAAGAGGATAATGATATTTTTTTTCAGAGCAATCCATACCAAAGACTTGTGAAAGAGAGTGAGCCTAAGTCCTCCACGGAACTTGTCTTTCTAAACTTCCATTTCTAGCTGCACCACCTCAGACCTTGGAACAATGGTGGCAAAAGCATTTTCACACGGAGCAGTGCTAGTATGTTGGCAGCTCAGCCTCTTTCACGGCCTGCGTGCGGAACGAGACACTATGTTCTTCCATTGACGCCCAGGCAGATTAAAGGACTTCGCTGCATGGAAGCAATTTGGAGAGAGCGCCTCCATTTGGCACAGCTCTCTCCGCTTTGCTCTCCTCCGTCCTCCCGACTGACTCCCCTCTCCGGAGGGAAGGAGAACAAGCTAGGTCCCCTCAACCAATTAATTGGGGTTAATTAATTCGAGCAATAATCCGCGGCTGACTGCAAAAAAGGGAGCAGGAAGAGGAGGAGAGGGTGAGAATTGGGCACACAAAAAGCCAAACTGCCAGTGGCAACCAAACTTTCTTCAAGATATATCGGAGGGACTAGGGGGTGGAGGAGGAGGAGGCCAAAGGCCTTGGAGGCCACTGGGACTGGAGCCCTCTTGAATCAGAGCATCTCATGTGCAGAATGAGAATTAAAGCAGAGGTCTTCATCCTTGGCAACTTTAAGACTGGTGGACCTCAACTCCCAGAATTCCTCAGCCAGCAAAGCTGGCTGGGGAATTCTGGGAGTTGAAGTCCGCCAGGGTTCCAGTGGCCAAGGTTGGAGACCCCTGCGTTAGAGCAAAGCTGGCTGGGGAATTCTGGGAGTTGAAGTCCGCCAGGCTTCCTGCGGCCAAGGTTGGAGGCCCCTGCATTAGAGCAAAGCTGGCTGGGGAATTCTGGGAGTTGAAGTCCTCCAGGCTTCCAGCGGCCAAGGTTGGAGGCCCCTGCGTTAGAGCAAAGCTGGTCTGGGGAATTCTGGGAGTTGAAGTCCTCCAGGCTTCCAGCGGCCAAGGTTGGAGACCCCTGCATTAGAGCAAAGCTGGCTGGGGAATTCTGGGAGTTGAAGTCCGCCAGGCTTAAAAGCGGCCATGGTTGGCGAGCCCTGTTCCAGCCTGCTCCTGCCTGGAGCCCCCTCGCCCACCCCCATCCCAGCGCTTCCTCGGCCGACCCGGTTCCTCCTTCCTTCAGGGAACGGCGCCCCCGAGAACATCCCCGGGGAGCATCCATGGGCGGCCCGAGCCTTGCGGGCCCCTCCGCAGCCACAGCCGCTCTCGGGGCTTCCCAAGCCAAGGAGCCGCTCCGGCCACTGAGAGGCAAGGCTGGCGGGGAGGTTTTCTTCGCCGCTGTCCAAGTGCGGTTCCCCGCCCCCGCCCCCCCTCAGCTCCGCACCCCGGCCTCTGCCGCCCCTCCCCAGGCCCAGGCGGGCTCTCTCCCTCGCTTCCCCGAAAGGGCTGGCCCGGCGCTCTGGCCCCGGAGTTCGTCCGCGAGGCCGGGGCAGGGCGGCTCCTCGGGCCTCGGCACCTGCCTGGCTCTGCGCTGAGCGCGTCTCTCCCGCCGGGCCGGGAAAGCCGCCGTTGGCCCCCGCCCGCCCGCCGCTCCCTGAAGCTGCGGCGGCGGCTGCGGCGGCGGAAAGGCCTCCTTCCGCCAGCGCTGGACTCTGAAGCCCTCCCGGGCTCCCTCGGCCAGGCCTCGGCCAGACCCCGCGGGGAGAAGAAGGAGAAGAAGAAGAAGAAGGAGCCCCCTCCCCGGCCTTACCCGGATCCCGCCCCCTGGTACGCGGAGCCCCGCGGGGAGCGCAGTGGCCGGTACCTCCGCTCGGGAGGGAGGAAGGGAGGGAGGCTTCTCCCGGCCAGAGGATGCTGCCGCCGCCGCCGCCGCCGCTTGGCATCCCGACAGTCCAGGAGGAGGCGGCGGCGGCGGCGGCACCACGTGCGGCCCTGGAGGCTGCCCGCCCGGACTCTCCCCCTCCGCGCAGAGACCCACCCTAGGCGGCGGCGGCGGTTGCGGAGCGCTGGGCGCGGAGGGCGCCGCCTTCCCCGCCCCGTTGGGCAGCGGAGGGCCGGAGACGCAGGGAGGAGGAGGGCGGCGGGCGGGCGGGCGGGCGGGCGGGGGTGGGGGGGGGGCGCGCCCTGGGCTTCCTCAGCCGCTGACGCCCATTCCTCCGCAGGGGAGCGCCGGCCGCCGTTTCCCGGCCATTCCTCCTCCATCGGCGCGCTCGCACTCCGGAGGAAGGAGCCCGGCTTCCCCGCGCCGGCCTTCGCCCCGGTCGGCCGCTTCGCCGGGAGAACTTTCTGCATGACGGTCTCCAAGGTAAGGAGAGGCGGAGCGGAGGAAGGGCTTGCCGGGCGGTGGGGACGGTAAGGACGGCCGAGCGGCTCCCCTTCTCCCAGCCGGCTGGCTGCCCCCTCGTGCCCGGAGGGCTGGGGCTTTGTCAGGGATGCGCCGCCCGGCGAGGAGGCGGAGGACGAGGCTTTTTCGCGACGCCCGCCGAGCCGCCCATCCTCTGCCCGGGCTCTCCGCTCCGGCCGACCCGCCCGCCCGCCCGCTTTGCCCTTTGAGGACCGGGATGCCGGAGATCTGCTGCAGTTTTAACCCTTGGAGAGGCGGGCAGGCCGGGTCCCGGGGGCTGCCGGGCTGCCTCGGAGGAGGAACCTGCCCGCTGCCTGCCTGCCGGGTCTCTGAAACGCCCCCGGCACTGCAGGCGAGACCCCCGGGCCTCTCCCGCGGAAGCCCCGCATATGGCGCAGCCCTGGGCCGGCCACCTCCGGCAGCCCCTTCCTTCCCTCCACAGGTGGTTGCGGAGGAACGGCGCTTGGCTGGGGCGGGGCAGGGGCTCCCCGAGACTCAGCTCCCTGGAGCTGGCCGGACCCTCCAGCTTCTGACCGGGGTGGGGGGATGGGGGAGGCACAGCAGCTGCTTCGTGGGCCGGAGCCCCAGAGGTGACCGGCTTCGCCTCACGTTCCCCTCCGCCTGTTTTGGGAAGCGCCTTTCGCTCTGCTCCTACCGGGGTTTGAGGAAGGGGACCCAGTTCCACCCCCGAAGCTGGAAGAATCCTTTGCAAGGGGACCCCAGAAGGTGGGCGGCTGGCCTGGGAGAGCCCCAAGACAGGAGCACCGCCCCAGGCCGAGGTGCGCCCCCGTTTTCCCTGCCTGAGCAGGCCCCAATTCTTTGCAGGTATGGGATAGGATAGGATAGAATAGAATATAGAATAGAATAGAATAGAATATAGAATAGAATATAGAATAGAATAAAATATAGAATAGAATATAGAATAAAATAGAATATAGAATAAAATATAGAATAAAATATAGAATGGAATATAGAATATAGAATAGAATAGAATATAGAATATAGAATAGAATGTAGAATAGAATATAGAAGAGAATAGAATAGAGAAGAGAATAGAGAAGAGAAGAGAATATAGAAGAGAAGAGAATTGAACAGAACAGAATTCTTTGTTGGCCAAGTGTGATTGGACACACAAGGAATTTGTCTTGGTGCAAATACTCTCAGTGTACATAAAAGAAAAGATACGTTCGTCAAGAGTCAAGAAGCATCAGGTACAACACTTAATGATAGTCATAAGGTACAAGAAGCCATCAAATCATACTAGGAAACAGTCAATATAAATTGTAAGGGTACAAGCAACAAATTTACAGTCATACAGTCACAAGCGGGAGGGGATGTGTGATAAGGAGTGATGAGAATATTAATAGTTATAGTAGTGCAGACTTTGTAAATAGTTGGACAGTGTTGAGGGAATTATTTGTTTAGCAGGGTGATGGCATTTGGGGAAAAACTGTCCTTGTGTCTAGTTGTTCTGGTGTGCAGGGCTCTATAGCGTCGTTTTGAGGGAAGGAGTTGAAACAGTTTGTGTCCGGGATGTGAGGGGCCTGTAGATATTTTCCCAGCCCTCTTTTTGACTCGTGCAGTACACAGGTCCTTGATGGAAGGCAGGTGGGTAGCCATTGTTTTTTTTTCTGCAGTTCCAATTACTCTCTGCAGTCTACCCCCTTTACCGCTTTTATCCCTGGTGCTACCCGCCTCCCGGGACAGAAAAAGTATTTAGACAGGTTCTTTTCCCTGCCGGAGTCGCAGCCTTCTACATGACTTAACCACACTTTAAACCTGGCTAAAGCTGGACTTTGGCTTGAAAATCCCTCCTTTGGCTCTGATGCTGTGCCTAACGTTGGCAGAACTCTGCTGCCTCTTCAGAGCAGATGGGATTTCTGCTGGTCCTGATGAGCGGAGGCCAGAAAGAAATAGTTTTGCAACATCTTCATTGTGTGGCTGCAGAACATTTTCGTATTTGATAAGAGTCAGGATCACTCCTGCAATGTGGTATAAGGCCAGATTTGGAACCATGATTCCACCCCCCACCCCCGAGTTATAGTATATACTAGCATGTATTTTAATTTATAAATCAATGTTTACTGATAGGAATTCAAAATAATAATAATAATAATAATAATAATAATAATAATAATAATAAGAAGAAGAAGAAGAAGAAGAAGAAGAAGAAGAAGAAGAAGAAGAAGAAGAAGAAGAAGAAGAAGAAGAAGAAGAAGAAGAAGAAGAAGAAGAAGTTGTTCATTGACATTTACAATACTTGATGATGCACAAATTGAAGACACACAGCAAGAAAAAATCGCAAAGTATCAGGACTTAGAAATTGAAGTTGAGCAACTTTGGAAAAAGAAATTGTGTGTAATCCCAATTGTAATCGGAGCCCCTGGAGCAAGCAATACCTAAAGGGCTGCCTCGCTATTTGGAAATCCTGAATTTATCAGGCTTCAATACCCTGATTTTACAAAAAAACCACCCTACTTAGAACAGCTTATATCCTCCGACGCTACCTGAACAGTTCCTAGGTCCTTGGTTAGGACTGTTGAGCTACCAACCAGCCCCAAAGGCTGTGAATCTCACTAAGACTGATGATGGTGTTTTTTCCCCCCAGATATCTGCAGTTCAATTTTCAAGTCTTGATATCTGAAAAAATCACCAGATATCAAGACTTGAAAATCGAACTGCAGAGTCTCTGGCGTAAACTAGTGCAGGTGGTTCCAGTGGTACTCGGCACACTGGGTTTCACAAACTTCCACAAACTTAGCCAGTTGTAGTTTGATAAATTGACCATGGTTAACCAAACTATAGCTTTCTATGACATGACAGTTAAAAGTTGTTTCTGACAGTTCTCCTCTTTAACTGAGAGAGACTATGGGGCTGGTGTTAGGGTTTCTGCCACCATGGGTTTGCCACATGAAACAAGAATTTGAAATATGACCCATGTCTACCTGGCCATGAGCCCATAGTTGCCGAAAATACCCTAGCAAGTATACTAACCTGAAGATCTTTCTATTCTTGTTAGAAGCTGTTAGAAGAAATATAAATATATTTATTTAAACGTTTTATACGACTGCTCTCATCTTAAGCAACTCCGTGTGACTTACAACTGTAAAACCAATAAATAAAGCAATTATAAAAACAATAAAGTTAAAAATAGAGCAGTTTGGGGTTTTAGCCAGTTCTAGCCAAGCTAAAAATCGGGAGGCCCTGAGTTCCAGTCCCATCCTAGGCTGGAAAGCCATTTGGGTGACTTTGGGCCAGTCCCTTTCTATCAGCACAGCCCACGACACAGGGTTGTTGTTATGGGGAAAATAGGAAGCAGAAGGGGTGTGGGATATGACCTCCACTTTGAGTTATTTATAGAAATAATAAAGGTGAGATACAAGTAAATAAATAAATAAAATGAAGAATCTTCCCTTGGACATTAAGCCAGCCGGGTGACTTTGGGCCAGTCATTCCCTCTCAGTTCTTGGAAGGAAGCAAACCAAAGCATTTCTGAAAAACCTTGCCAAGGAAACTGCAGGGACAGGTCCAGGCAGGATTCAAAAAGTAACTTGAAGTCACACAAAAGTTAAAGGTAGGTTAAAATTAAAAATTGTTAGCAATGGGATGTAGCAGCTGTTTATCTATTGGATTGAGGTGCAGCTCCCACACTGGGGGAAACAGTCAGAATGCAGGGATGTGACCGTGAAGGAGATTGACTGAGCATTTTCCAAGTATCTCTCATTTTTTATCCTTACACCATGGATTTTAGACAGGTTGCACACGTACAGGAAAATTACCACTTGTCGAGAACTGTGTAGAAAAAGCCCCAAGACCAGCAGGTCCAGACTAAACCAGAACTCCAAAGTCATTGTTCCTAGGCCTGGCGTGTTTCTCCTCCACCTTCTCAAAACCCGGAAGCGCTTCCTACCCAGGGTTTCAGCACTAAATGTAAAGGTGCGCAGATACCCTTTAAAGTTAATAGAAAGCAAATATCTGGTGTTGGATTCCATGACAGGTGAATTTCAGTTGATTTGCAGTGCACTTTTCACCGCTACCTGTGAATCTGTAACCTCTGATTGGGGTGGAGAAAGCCGCGGCCCCTTTGGGACCCCTTAGGAACTTTCTGCTGCTCCCAAAGAGAAGCATTTGGTGGCACAAGGTGCTGCGGTTGGGAAAGGGATCTGCGGTTGGCATGGCAACCCGAGAATGGAGGGGGAGGCTGAAGGCAGCTTGCAGGCAGGCCGGGGACCGCAGGCTACTAATTACCGAGCACATTTTGGGATGTCAAACTGCATCCTAAACTGTGGGTTCAATTGTCCCATAATAGTCTTATGGCCAATTAGCACTTGGTTGTTTCATTAACGCAGCATTAAGACGGAAGATGGGAGACTAAAATTGGTTATTTGTGGCTCTGTGTTTATTTCTTTCATTTTATTTGGTTTGTCAATTGCTTACAAGATAATAGGTATAAGTAATAACATAGTTATGAATACATGGATACAGATAAGAAAAATAATAAAAGAAACAATAGGACGGTGTGTTGTGGAAATCCAGCTCCCTGATATTTTGCATGAATCAGGTCATTATGTTAAACCATATTAAATTGGGCATAGCATGTCTTGTGCATACAAGCATTGTATTTTATTAACCTGATTGATGACAGTGTATTATGTGAACCCAGTCTTGCAAAATGAAAGATTTGCCTAGGCCAACCCCTATTTAATATTGCTTTCCTTTGAAGGGATCATTTTGGAATTTTGACACTGTTGTGAGGGGTATCAGCAACGGATTTCCTGACAGCAGGTTCAGCTGTTTACCAAATTGGAGCTATAATGTTCATACATAGTTGGGGGCTTACTATATGTAGCCTGGGAGTTAAACTTCTGAGAGCAAAGTAACTTCTTTATAAATTTACGTAGAAGGTAAAGGAGACATGAGCTCCAAATCAAGTAGCTGCTTTTCTAAAACTATAGTTTTCG